AAAGCCTGGGAAGAGGAATCTGAGGCCACAGTGGCAGGACCCCAGGAGGGGCCCTCCTTGGTGAGGCTGTCTGCCAGAGGGAGAGGAAGGAGGAGAGGGGCAAAAGGCAGGAGTGGTGGTACTACTGCGGGGGGTTGCGCCCTGAGCCCCAAGCTTCCCCCTCCAGAGATCTAAACTTTGCCCTTAGTAAGGAATGGGGGGATCAGCTCAGGACCTTCTGCCATTGTGACCTGGGTCCTTGGGAACCCTGGCCCTGGCAGCCCTTCTCCCTGCATGGGTTGAGGCTTCCTTTCCGGAGGGCACAGCCAGACAGTCAGAGAGAACCCAGGTGTTGCAGGGAACCCCTATAATGCCTGTCCCTTGGCGGGGACGCTGAACAGACCACTGGCTAATATAAAAAGCACTCAGGGGTAGAAGCAAGACTGTGAACCTTGAAGGAGTTGTCTGGCAGTGGCAAACGTCCCTCATCCCCTCAGACTTTCAGTCCCCTCATCTCTAAGATGAGGGAGTGATGGTGGCTTTGCAGAACTGTGACAGAGCTCAAGGAAACAGCTGTGGAAAAGGTGCTGGCACAGCAGAGGCTTGTGAACTGGGGAGACACTCTACACAATGGCAATCCATCGCGTCTCTGTCTCTCTCTTCTCTCTCACGTCCACACACATTCCCTACATCCTTTTCTTTCCCGCCTTCCTCCACGGCACAGGGGAGGGATAGGCCTGGACGGGTGGCAGAAGCTCCACAGCCCCAGGCAGTTGAGAAAGACTACTGAGGAGCATCAGGCAGCCTGGCCAGGACAGATGGCAGACAGAGAGGACACAAATGTGGGCTGGGACTTCCCTAGAGTCAAGCACACTCCCCGCTGGCCGGCGTAGGACAGGAACACAGGCTGGCCTCTTGTAGTCTGTTCTCCAGCCCCACCTCCAGTGCAGGGTCCCAGGGGACTGCTCCTGGTGACCCAGTGTCCCTGGGGATAAAGTCATCTTGGACTCTGAGACTTCTGTGCAGCAGCTGAGTAACCCTGCCCAGGACCAGAAGGCTGGAGGCAGTACAAGTTTCAGCTGTGCAGAGCAGGTGCAGCTGGCTCTGGGCCCCGAGATCGCCTGGAGTCTCCTGACTGCTGGCTGGCAGTGCCTGTCCCCAGTGTGCTCACAGGCAGGCCTGCCCCTCACGGCTGTGCTCACTGGGGCCTCTCACCTCAAAACCCTGATAGAGGCTTTGAAACAGGCCAATCTGCTCACAGCCTAGAACACATGCTTGTCCTTGTCACACAACCTGGGCTGTCCCCTCATGACCTTGCACACAGAGAAGGACCTGTCCTCCTATGACCTGTACACATGGCAGGTCTGTCCCCTCACAGTCTCACACTCAGGGACAGCCTGCTTCCGTGGGCTTGCATACACACACACAAGACCTGGCCTCCAAAGGCTTGGGCATGAGGTGCACTGAGTCCAAAGTAACTCCTCATTAACTCAGCAACTGTTTATGTTTCCACACCCCCAGGGCCTGGCCTCAGGGGCCCAGCCACTCATACCAATAGCACCAGCCTCTCAGGGAGCCCTTAGGACAGCGGGCCTCTCCACCCAGAGCAACCCATCCTGCCCTCTTCCTGGACCGGGAGGCTCTGCTCCTCCTGAGGTTCCTAGGCCTACTTGGACTTCCCTGATCCCTGCTGGCTGGGAGCAGAACTGCCTGGGGAGATGATGAGGGGGAGAGAGGGACGGACGGGATCTGCAACAGGTGACCACTCTGTCCCCATATAATCCCATTGGCAAATGTGGTGAAAACAGCATGGAGGGAACGCGTCAGGCCAGAGGGCTGTGACAGTGGTAAGCACACTGGGGTCCCGAGCCGAGGCTACTGAACAGCAGCATTGCAGGATGGATGGGGACCGTGAGACAGTACAGGGACACTGTGATCATTCCCTGCCTTGTTCCACAGGGCTACCTGAGGTCAACCCTGCAGCAGCATTTCTCAACCTTCTCCTTATCACTGTCCCCAGAGAGGGGTTTTCAGCACTTCTCCTCCCCTGGAAATGAAATACTGCAGAATGAGACGTTGCTGAACTAGGTCAAGTCTGGAGGGCCACACGCTGTTGTAGTCACTGAGTTTTTTACAGCTCCAAAGAGCTGGTTGGCCCTCTGGGGGACGTGTTGCCCTCTAGGGAGTCTCCGAGATGCTAGCACAAGTCCATGAAAGCTAGAGCAGGGGCCGGATCCCAGGGTCGTGTGCTTTACAAACCGAGGCCCATTCTGTGCACGTGCTGCAGACACGGCACACAAATAAGCCCTGATGTTGGGGTGCAGTGATGGAAAAACACCTAGAAAATGGAAACTTTAAGCTGAGACTGGGGTTCTAAGCATCCTTCATTCTGATGTTCTATTGCCTTCTTCTGTTACAAAACAGAAGAGAGGGCTGGGGGTGGGGCTCAAGTGTAGAGTGCTTTGCCTAGCTAGTGTGAGGTCCTGAGTTCAAATCCCAGTACTACCAGAGGGACAGAGAGAGAAAGAGGGAGGGGGAGACGAATGAGGAGGGGAGAGGAAGATAGGGCGAGAGGGAGGGACAGAGAGAGAGAGAAGAGAGAGAGAGAGAGAGAGAGAGAGAGAGAGAAGAAACAAGGAAAGAAAAGGAACCTCCCCCCACCAAGTGGTTGGCTGTAAATGTAGAGGGGAGAACGTAGAGTTCGAATCTCAGAGACAGGCACAGTGTGATCATGGAGGAGGCAGGATGAGCCTTGGACTGAAGTCTAAATGTAGCTGCTGTGCAACTATGGGCAAGTCACTTAACCTCTCTGAGCCCTGGTTCCTTTATTTACTGGGTGGCAATAAGCCAGAAAGTATCTAGCTTGACCCAGTGTAGACACTAATTGTATCTCAATTAAGTAAACATTTACTGGACTTCATCCAGACCAGGACAGTAAGCTACATAACCAGGGTTTGAATCCAGGTCTCCCAGCTCATTTCACTAGCTGGCAGTAAATCCAAAACACCGTAAGCTTCTTTGTCATTTTGAAAGGAAGGAGAGCATGCTTTCTTTATGCTCACAAAAACCAGGTGGCCAGGAGCCACAGGACAAGTTGCCAACACTAGATCCCACTGCCACCTGGTGGCAGCACACCTAAATCACTGGGGAGAACTAGCATCTGTCTTTCACATGCCTGAATCACAAAAGTGAGAATGAGGTTATCACTGCCACCCAGCAAGAGGCCAGCACATTGCTAGGCATTTGCTGGATATTTGACACATTTAACTTAGCTTTTCTGGATCCTTTAAAAAAAGCTGATTGAATTTAACAACCATAAAGAAACCAAATGCCACCATAATTGAGCACAGCCATCCAGGTGGGAGAACCCAGGGACCCCAGCTCTGTGAATCTCACACATGATCCTCCATATGGGGACACTCCACACTGGGCTGTTCCACCATCTTTCTAGTCGGTCTCCTGAGAGACTGTTTCCTGGGCCCATCTTGGTCACGCCTTATAGCTGTGTAATGTCCTCAGATTTCCCAAGCGCTGCTCTGGGGTGTCCACAGGTGTGGGACCAGGCCAGGCAGAGTCCTATGAAATACCACTAAAGACAGATTTCGCCATTGATGTCGGCCACCTTTTGAATGAGGTGCTTTTCCCAACCTGTTAGGTCTCCAAGTACACTCCTCCTTGTTCTGAGCTACAAGACAAGGCAGGGTTGTCACTGGCTGAGGACTGACATGTGAAATGCCATGGAGAACAGACATGGTGGCTGCTCTAAATCATTACTGTCCCTGATGCTGAAAATGGGCTCTTCGTTCAGGAAGAACTTCGGAGGGCCACACGCTATTGTGACAGTATGTGAACAACCACCACCATCCAGTTACCTTTCTTTCCTCTCAACTGCTCTGGCATTTAACTCCCAAATGGCATCTGGGCACACAGACAGCCAGGTGCTAGGGATGTTCTCCCGTGGAAACTGAGGTCTTGGCAGCACCTTGGTAACTATGTGACACCTCACTTCCTCAGCTGCCACCAGGGGCCTCCTGACTTGCCCATGATCAGAATTTGCATGATCTGATTCTGCCTGGGCCCTCACTGGCCTCAGGAGCCCGAGTTGCGGTCTGGGCCTTGTCCTTCCCATCCACACAACAGGAAAAGCAGCAGAAACAGACCTCCGGAGGCTGTATGGGCATCATAAGCCTTGTCCAGCTCCTGGCACACAATAGGAGCTCAATAAATGTAGGTCTCACATGCTCAGCTTCTAAGACTTTGTGCCCTACAGGCACAAAGCAAGTGGACCCCAGCTGACAAAGAAGGAAAGCGTCCCTTTGGGACAGGAGTGTAACTCTGGGGTGTCTTTCTCCTCTGTCCAGCTGTGGTGTGGTAGAGTCAGCTTCTGAAGCTGGCCAGCCCGGCCAGCTCCCTACAGAGAAGACAGACTGTGACATCCACTTGCCATGCTGGCCACACCCCCTCATGGCTGGTTCCAAACATGAGATCAGAGGGCAAGAGAGAGAGGCAAGGCACAAAGAGATGCCCACTGTGCACACCGTCCCTGTTCCACGTCTGGGCCACCAAGCAGAACTCGGACCTGTGGTGCAGGAGGACCTTCCTCAGGAGAGCTGGCCCTGGGCCTCAAAAGTGACCGGCAAAGGACTGCTGTCCATGTGCCCGAGGATTCCGAGCCAGCCCCGTGGAACAAGACTCAGGGAGTCAGGCCAGAGAGCCAGACATTGAAGGGTCATGGGAACAGGAACTGGGCTCGGGGTTTCTACCTGTGGCGAATTTACGCCACAGAGCCTTCACTGAAGTCCAGCTCCCTGGCCCCCAGGAACACCCTCACTCCAACAGAAGCAGTCACAGATCCTGCTGGAAGCAGCGAGACAGCTATAAGGTTCCAGGAGGAGACGGGGCAGAGGCTTCTGTGCACAGCACAGCTCCTCCCTGGGCCAGCGGGAAGGCCATGCCCTCTGGCTTTATGCCTCTGGGTGACAGGTTAGCCCAAAGCCACCAGCAGCCAGGTCTCAACTTACCTTCCACTGCAGAGAATGGAACCACTGGTCTCTCAGGTAGCTGTTGGCAGCCTGCAATGACAAGAACAGGAAAAGGGCCGGTCACTGGCTTGACACATCTCAGAGCATCTCACAGGCCAGCATGTGTGTCCCTACATACTTTGTGTGACGGCATCTGCCTCAAAACCCTACATGTCTTCTGCAGGGCTGTACACAAAATCACAACAGGAGAGGTTGGGTCTGGAAAGAAGACATGGCTGCTGTTGGGTGCTGGTTGTACTTCACCCTGCTGGCTGCAGCAATTCAGTTGTGCACACAAACCTTGACTGATGCTGGACTACAGGAAGGGCCTAGGTGAACTGTCTGGGGCCTGAAGGTGATGTGGCAGAGCCAACTGAAGACTCCCTTCTGCCAGGACCATTCATACACTCAGCCTGGCATCCCCATGATCTTCTCAACAGTCCCCACAACAGCCTGTAAGTGGGGAAATCCCATCACTGTACCCATTTCACAGACAGAAAAACAAGATCCTGAGCTCTCATGCTAAGTGCATTCAAACCAATGGCTGCTGGCTTCGAAGCCTATGCACTTAGACAAAACACTCTCTTGCTGGCTGTAGAAGGTCGTGGTAGAAAGCGCCTAGCCTTGAACTTGACAGACCTAAGTTAAAAATCATAGCAGGGGGAGCAAAACCACCCTGGGTCCACATTGTGCTAATTCTGAGACCCTGGGCAACTTGGCCTGGGTTCGCCCGTTTGTAAAATGAGAACCGAGCCTTGTTCTCGAAGGGATGTTGTGAAGACTACACAGGATTCCTGCAGAGCACCTAGAACCAGGCTGGGCACATGATGGGGGAGTAAGCAAAGCACAGCCATTGTTAGTATTCTTATCAATTCCTCACAAATAAAAGTGGCCCGGGGAAGCCACTGCTGACACCCTCAGCTGTGGCAGATCTGCCATTGGCAATCCCACGTTCGTGGTGTTTAACACGCACCAGATACAGAGCGAGGCCCTGTGTGATGGGCTTGTTCCGGCTTCATAAGATGCCCTGCGGAGTCAAGTGCAGATGAGAAGCAGACTCAGAGGGTTACAGACCTCCAAAGGCTCCCAGGCAGGAGTGAGGGACTGGGAATTGAGCCCAGGCAATGTGTGTGACTCATGCTATAAACCACAATGCTATGCTTTCTGGGGTATCCATTGGCTACTCCAGGGAGGTGTCCATCCCCTGCCAGACTCCACAGCCCTGGGCTCCAAGTGACCCTGACTCTGATGGTTGAGGGGTTGTGACAAAGGCTGGAGCCATTCTTCAAGCATTAACATCCACCCTGCCCCCACCATACTCAGACACAGGCAAGCATGTACCACTTCACCTCAAGGTGACCCTGGGCTTGCTGGGATGACCACCCCCCACCCTCAAGTCCTCCTGAACAAAGGGCCAGTGAAGCCAACAGCCAGGCTCATGGTAAGTTCAGAGGCTCCTTTCAAACCTTGGAGAGATGCATTATCCTCTGAAGGCGGGTGGGGCTTGAGTCTATGCCTGAGTCCCAAGCAAGTGGGAGGCCGGCCTTTGGTATGCCAGCACTCCTGCGATGTCTGAGCCTCTGACAGACCTCTACCTTGGCCTAGCAGGATGACCTGGACTTAGTCACCTGCTACACTTGCCCAGGGCTGCCCAGAAATGGTCCTGAGAGTCTGGCTAGGTTCCATGGACCCTGTGCCTGGTCTCCCAACACCTTTGTCCATTGGGACAATGACATACACACCCTGCCCAGGGAAAGCCACACAAAGCCATAGACAATGCGGTCAGTCACAGAAGGGCTTAGGCTGTGAGGGCCTGGCATATGTGGACACTCTGCAAACATGGCCGTTGGGATCAGCAGCAGCCATGGCAGTGTTGTGTCCACAGGCTCTCCAGGGTAAAACATCCCTGACCACATGTGAGCCAATTCCCATGGTGTAAACACCCTCCCCTCAAACCCCCGCCACCAATTCCAGTGATGGGAACTGTGGACACGGTGGAGAGACATGCATAACCAGCTCTCATGAGCAGTGCAAACCAGGACCAGCGGACTCCAGGGCAGTCCTGGGCCACAGTCACTCCATGCCCTTAACATGCCAAGGTGGACAGAGAGAGGGACAGTAGCAGGAAGAATAAGGATCCCCAAAGGGATGTATATCCTAATCTGTCATGATTATATTATCTTAGCACATGGCCAGCCAGGTGACTTGTTTTGGCAGAGGGACTTTGTAGATGATAAATTAAGGCTCTTGAGATAGGGAGTATATCCTGGATTATCTAGGTGGCCCAATGGAAACCTTGTAAGAGGGAGGCAGGAGAGCCAGGTAGGGATGGAAGGAGAGGCCAGAGTGATGTGGCAATGAGCTGAGGACTGCAGGTGGCCGCCAGAAGCTAGAAAAGTCGAGGAAACAGGATCTCCCCCTAGGGTCTCCTCCTGTAGCCCTGCCTACACCTTACCATTAGCCTGGTGGGACCCATGCTGGACCTCTAGCCTCCAGAGATACCCACATTTGTGCATGCACCAAACTCAGGTATGCACACGTATACACACCTACCACACAAACACTATACACACCGTATGTACAGGGGCAGTTTCAGAATATATCATGGATCGTGGGCCAAGAACCAGATCCAACCTAGTCTTCAGTCTGTTGTCATTTCTCTAAGGTGGAAACTAAGGCCCAGACTTTGTATGGTCATCATTATTGTCAGTTTCCTTCCTTTTGGCACATGGCATAGGTGCAAATCGCCAGCTAACTTGCTTTGCCCAATGAACACTGAGCTGATGTGACACAGAAGGGAGGCATCACTTGCAGGTGGAAGTCTAAGATCCACTGCATGAGTCGGCCTATTTCTCTCCCCCTGCTATGGTAGCAAAAATGTCCCAGGTGGCACGGACTTCACCAGAGGAGCTCCAGAAGACCCACAGCGATGTTCGCTATTTTCAGTCTTGAGGAATTTGGGGCTGCTTGTCACTGCAGCAATCTTAGCTTGCCCTGACCTTCCATCTGCTTTCACTCCTTCCCTGCCTGTGCACGTCTACGTACCCTCGGGTCCCACCCGAAACACCACTGGTCCAGAATGACTGTACTATAGGTACCTCTCCCTCTCTCTGTCCCTGACCAAAGAGTGATGCTCCTCACCTAACACATCACAATGCCCTGTAGCCACCAGTCTAATTGTCCTTGTTCCCCCAGGCTGTGACTCGGTGAGGCCAGGAAACATGTCTGACTTATGCATCACTGTGTCTGTAAAACGCAGACAATGACTGCTAAAGAGAAGATTAACTGGTGAGCAAAATAAATGAATGAATGGTTGGATGGGCACATGCACAGGGCAAGGAAATGCGGATGGATGGATAGATGGGTGGATGGGTAGATGGATGAACAGATAGGTGGGTGGAGGGATGGATGGACAGATGTATATATGTATGGATAGATGGACTATATGGGTGGATGGATGAATGGATGTGTGCATGCATGGATGGGTGGGTAGATGGATAAATGGATAGATGAGTGGGTAAGTGGATGTGTGGAGGGATCAAAGAGTGAATGGGTAGATGGACTATACCCATTCCACTCATTGAACAAAATTTCATTAGTAGCAGAAATTTAGAAGCACTCATCAGCCTTGATATCCTCTCTTCCCCAACCTGTATTTGACTTCAGTTCTGGAAACAACCATGGCAGTTTTTTTCCTCAACACTCATTTGCACTAGGCACAGTGGTAACTATTTGCATAGACTTTCTCTGACCCTACAATAGCCAAGTGACACATATTGTGGGTCCAATTCACAGGTGAAGAAAATGGAGCCCAGAGAGGTTCCTCTTACTGCCTAAGGTTACCCAGCTAGGGCACTGCAGATCTGGGCTGCAGATCTCAGATCCATCTCCCTCCAGAAGGAGGGAGATGCTCACCCTACTGCTCACCTGGTAGAATGTAATCAGTGTGCCCAGCTCCTGTGGACCAGGTCTTAGGCTGGGGCTCACTACTTCCCTTGGCAGCAGCTCTGATGAAGGGGAGGACAGACCTGACAACCCATTCCAGTCACCAGGAGTCCACCTTGAAGACAGAGCATGGGCTACAACTTCCCTCCAGAGGAGGGGCAGTGGCTGATGTCGACAAAGGCTGTGACAAGGGTGGCTGCAAACTGCTCCTTCTGTTAACAGAGGTTGCTGGGTGAACTCTGAGTCACAGTACAAGCCTCTAAGGGCTTCCACCAGAGGCAAAGTGGACCCAGCTGTGTCAAGGCCTAAGAGCATGGAGCGGTTCTGTAGCCTCCATGATGCTGGCTGGCAGCAGAGAGAACCAGGATAAGCCAGCTTGTCCAAGGGCCACTCAGAGGAGAATTCTCTGGAATATAGGAAGGAGCCCTCAGTCCAGCCTCCAGCTCCCTCAGGCCCCAGGCCTGCCCAGGCGCCTCTGACTGCACCAGTGATAACTTTCTGAAAGGGCCGGTTCTAGGCAAATTCTGCCTGATTTCCTCTTCAAGAGCTGCCAAGTTCTCTTTCATTGTTGCATTGTCTCTGGGGTGAGAAAAACAGCCAGGGAGCATTGCGGGTGACCAGGTGACTGTTCCTGAGTCCAGCTTCCTGGCCCAACTTCTTAGGGAAAACAGTAGAGTGTGCAGCCCGGAAAAGTCTTTCGCTCTGGCTTCCAGTAAGAAAGGAACCCAACCTCATCTCTGCCAGCTGCCAGTTTTTGGGGTAAACAGTTGCCCGGCTTCCTGTGGGGCTTTTGGAAACATCAATGAGACGAGCCAGGAAGCGAAACATCTAGAAAGCAGCGATACTATCAGGGAGGGAGTATCACCCCAAACCATCTGGAAGCTGCTCTAGGCTCCGTCCATATTTCACTGATGGGTGGAAACCAAATCGCATGGCAGAACCTGTCAAAGACGATCGGCACCGCAGGGCTCCTTAATGCCTGACGCCCCACCCAGGGCCAGCATGGCACCCCAGGATGCCTCCATTACACCACTTCTGCGCTTATATGACTGGCCTCCTCACAATGAAACGCCAGCCGAAAGGACATTAAGGGAGGAAAGAAGATAAATGGGTCCTTTCTGCAGTCAGGGACGCTAACAACATGGCATTAGGCGAGCTCACGCTGAAACCACAAAGCATCTAGAAGCACTGCGACTGACCCCATGCTGGACGGCTGGCGCCTGCAGGCAGATTGCTCCCTCTCTGAGCTGGAGAGAAGGCATGAGCTTAAATGTTCCCTGAGCCCCCCTGGAACTACCAGGTCAGCTCCCAGAGTGCCTTCCTGTGCACTGATAAAATTCTAAGGAATAAGGGGTTTTGTAAGGAGCTCCTTAGGAGGCAAACAGAGGGGAGAGTAGGAAGAGGGATGGGACACAGAGTTAGGCAGAGATGCTCAGAGGTGGAGAACAACACAGACATACAGGAGGAGGATACTAGAGAAAAAGAAACCACAAGAAGCTAAGTGAGAGATGGAATGTGTATGTGTGTGTGTGGTGGGGGGAGAACAGAAGAGGATAGAAGGGAGGAGAGGGGAGGATGGGTGACGGGGAGGGAGAGGAGGGAGAAAGTGTCAGAGAGGGAGGAAAACAGACACAGATGCAGAGAACCAGAGAGACAGATGGACACCAGACAGGTAGCCTGTGATAGGCAAGGGACACAAGGCCCCTCTCTGGGACAGTGGAGGCCCCTGACATCACCCCTAGGTGGAGTGCCTATGCCGCGTGCAGCAGGCAGGCCCCACTCAGATGCAGAGACTCAGGAAGACTGAGGCACCCCGCACTGAGGCCAGTTCCCTGGGAGGAGCCGGGGCCCAGAGCATGGGGCCCTGGTGAAGTTCCCACAGCCAAAGCCGCCCCCCCAGAACTATCTGCTGTGGTGGAAGTGCTCTTTATCTGCACAAACCACTACAGCACATGGCCCTGGACACTGGCTATGGCAAGCGCAGCGAGTGACAGCATCTTCGATCCCATGGGATAAATTAAACCCAAACGCGAGCTGCTGTGGGGGCTGACAAGGGCACTGTGCTCAGGCCCTTCGGTTCCTCTGTCACCTCTGGCATGCAGAGGAGTCCTGCAAACGTGCCATAGCCACCAGCCCACCTGGCTGCTTCTCGGAGCCCCTCTCGCCCTGGACAGAAAAGGCCTGTCCCAGGGTCACAGTGTGGCTCTCAGTGACTCCACTGCTCTGGATCCCAATCCACTGTGTCACGCATGAATCAAGGCAAAGCAAAGGCCCTGCCATTGTCACAATGTGGACCAGATCAGCCCTGGAGGAGTCCCTGCTCAGCATTTCCGGGCATCATCTGGGGACCAAGTACCACCAAGCTTCTCAGAACCACATAAAGCTCCCAGGTTAGAGCCCATCTCTGAAAAGACTCAGGCCCATTTATAGAACCAGACAGCCATACACACCCATGAATCACGGGAGGCAGCAGGGAGGAGGGTGAAGACAAGCAGCAAGGTGATAGCCAGTCCGGGCCACCACCCTCAGCCAATGGAAACGACAGCAAGTAGAGAGCCATGGTGGCAGGCGAGCAGGGCAGGGCTGTACCCACCTGGGTCCCCTTGGAACAGTGGAAGTGCACTGCTTCCCCAGCTGAGCCGAGTCCTCTCTGGATCCCAGGAGCTGCCAGCCTCCCTCTCCTCTCCTCTCCTCTCCTCTCCTCTCCTCTCCTCTCCTCCTCTGCCACTCCCACCTCTGACTGGGTGTCCACTGGAGTAGGGGCGGTGAGCGAGGGGGATGCTGGGGCAGCAGAGGCCTGCCCGCTGCTCAGTTCGTCAGCCCCGCAGGGGGAGCTCTGACGCAGAGCACTGCCCACTGCAGCCAGCCAGGCGAGTCATCACCGCTGGGCCGGTGGCCATGGCCCGGTTAAAGGGACCTTCTAGGTACTGGTTAGCAAACTGCATCCCCCACAGTCTCATTGCCCCTCTACCCAGGGTGATGCTTTGGCCTTCCTCGGAGGCAGGGCTGTCCCTCTGGTCCTCCTGCTGGTGGACTAGTGGCTCCCATGCTTGGGGAGGGAGAGGTTTAGGGGCAGGTTCTCCTCCCTCCCCAACTATTTCTGGAGTCTTCTTGTGTCCCTTTGCCATTCACATACCCAGCTGCCTGTGCCCCTGCCACCGCATGGATTCATCTAGTGTCCCCCATCCCTTAAGAACTTTCTCTGGCTCCCTATGGCCTTCAGAATAGAGTCTGCAACTTCCTCCAGACCTATGTGATCTGGACACAGCCCTAAGTTCCACTGCCCTGACAGCAAACAGCTGGCTCTCCCGCATTCCTCCCATGTCTTCCCTGGCCAGGGTGGGCTCCCCCACCCCACCACCCTGGCACACTCCTACCTATCTATCCCTTTATGCCCAGCTCAAATGCTGCATCCCTGGGAAGCCTGCTCTGGCACCCTGAGGCTGAATGCGTCACTTCTTTGCCGGGGCCCCAGATCCTCTATTTCAGCCACTGCTTCAGTAATCATTTGTTTCTGACTCTGCCTCCCCAGACACTGAAGAGCTCTGCAAGGAGGGGGCCATTCCAGTGCGGGGAGAGGCAGGGTGGAGGCTCTGGACAGGAACTGAGCGGCTGCTCTTGGGTGTCCCTCCTCTTGGCCCACCTGGTCTTCCACCCCAAGAGGACTGGTACTACTCACTCCCTGGGTGGACTGTGCACCGCAGTCATCAGATGTCAAGTAGGGGTGCGGGAAGAGGTGGGGAGGCCAGAGAGTGGTCCACTGGGAGGGGCTCCTGGTCTCCACAATGAAGACAGAGTAGGGGAAGAGGGAACTCTGGGGGCCGGACGGGACAGGTACTTGGTGAGGGCAGGTAACACAGAAGGCAGAGTGTGGCAAACGACAGGGAAGACAGGCTAGGTGTGTCTTTGACCTCCAAGAGAAGGACAGTAAAGCAGGATTTTTCTACATGATGTCCAGCAGCCACACTCAGCCACTGAGCTCAGCACCCTTAGGGGCATAGTGGGTGACTTTGAGCTCCCATAAGTGACCCAAGCTAGTGGCTACCTTTTTTCTTTCTCCTTTTCTTCAGTACTGGGGTTTGAATTGGGCCACCTGCTTGCTAGACAGTTACTCTACCACTTGAACCATGTCCCCAGCCCTATGGTCACTTTGAAGCAGGCTTCAGGGAGCATCTCTTTGGGTGAAGAGAAAGTTTCCCAGGAGAGAGAAAACATTCCTAAAAGAGTCTAAGACCCATGGTTCTCTCCCTGCTAAGAGGTGAACTTTTCTAGCTGCAGAGCTCTAACTCGGGGCTCCTCTGGAACTGGGGTGGCTCCCCGACATGATATGTAACATGCTGACACATGCACTGCCCTGGTCACTTGGTTTTGTCTGCTGCTTTTCCTTTCCAGGAGCACCCACTTCTTCCGCCTCTGGTGGTCCTGGGAGGGCACAGGTGCTGTAGTCAAGGGTGGACAGACAGCCAGGGAAGAGCACTCCCAGGAGTGGGTGGGACCACAGCAGAGCCAACCAGGATCTTCTGAGAGATTTTATAAACAGCACTAGAAGGAAAAGGGCTGTCACTCTTCTAAGCATTACAGGCTAAAGAATGTGGCTTCAGACAGCCAGCAACCCACCTTTCCCACCACATGGAGGAGTCAGCTTCACACAAAGCCACTCACAGAAGCAGAGCCAGGAGGTAAACAGGGAGAAGAACACTGAGTATTAGTGACATCGTCTGACCCCTGGATCCAGCTGTACCTGAAGCCCTCTCTTGGACTTCCCAGACATTTTAACCGTTACAGCATTACATTCTCTTTTTCTATCACCGGTTTGAGTAATATTTGTATCATTCCCAACTGAAAGTCCTGGTTAAGACATATATATGCACCTTTTTCCTCCTAAAAGACCGTACTTCTATTTGTCTCAAAAAACTTAATCATGGGCACCCTCTCTTGGGAATCCCCCAACTCTGGGGGCTCTACTCCCCCACTTTACCACTTTTCTATCTCAATAAACTCTCCTGGTTTACACACACACACACACACACACACACAAGATGTGAAAAACCTCCTCTTTCAAAAGCTCACGTTTTTCCCAGCCCTCAAAGCCTAACAACTAACCTACATGCCTCAGTTTCCCCATTCATACAATGGAGCTCATCTCATTTCTCAGGCTTAAGGGAATGAATGAGCAACACAGAAAGTTCCTAGGTAGTGAAGGCATGCAGTAGGAGCTCAATCTATGTGCATCCCCTCCTTCTCTCCAGGGAGCCCGTTTATGCCTTTCTTACACTGGGTTGGAAACCCCACAGTTGGCTTTGGCCACAACCCTCGAGGGCTCAGGGGAGGGGGTGGGGTGTTGGAGAGTAGAGATGGAGGAGGGAGCAAAAAGTGCTGGCTCATCCTACCTGCAGCAGGACAGTCCCCCCAGGGACAGTGAGCTGTAAACAGTACTTCGGTGCGTTCTCCCATGACAGCAGCTGAACGTCTTCAATGGCGCTGTAGGAGACCGAGTTTTCCATGTACCCAGTTGGCTGCAGCAAGAAAGAAACAGAGACACACAGGTTACAAAGGCAGGCGGGGACCCATGGCTCAGAAGCCGGCACGCCCCCTCTGGTGACAGCATCCAGCAAGAGGGCAGGGTCGCGGAGGAAATTCATCCCAGTTAGAGGGGCAGAGTGGGGACAGACTCAGAATGCCAAGAGGACAAGAACTGAGGATGGTTCCTAGGCATGGGCAGGACCCAGCATAGGGTGCAGCTGAAATCCCACATCCTTCATGGGCAACAAGCCACCATCGCCCCCTGTGCAGTAGCAATAGCATCTGCTGGTCTCCCTGCCTCCTCCATTCAGCGTCCACAGCCAAGCTCCAAGATGGCCAACTCCATGCTCCCCCGCCTTCGCTGAACAGCCTTCAGAGGCTCCTACTGACCTAAGCACGAAATTCACACCTACACTTCCCACAATGGCCTGCAAACAGGGCCTCTTACTGGACCTGCTCCTTGCACCCCAAAGCCCCAGCCTGACATGTCCTCTTTTCTCCTGGTCTCACCTCAGTAGCACTTGTTTTTTTTTTTTTTTAATTTAAAATGTAACCTGTGCTCTAGGAGCAATAGCAACTGCACAGAGTCCAAGAGGCTGATGGCCTTGGTGGCTCACGACCACCCTGGTCTCTTCCAAATGTACAGCTGGCCCAAATCCTATCACCCACAAAGGGTGGAGGAAATGGGCTGAAATGCAGCCACTGAAGCATGTGGAAACTTGCGGGCCACACAGACATCCCCAAGTTCCCGCAGTGGGGATTGCCACAGAGACATAGCACAACACAGCCACAGACTGAGCTGGACCAACTGGATCCAATGCACATAGCCTTGGCCTTTGCAAGCACACCTGGGAGCATGTGCAGAGAGCCTAAAGGTTTCTATTTCCCACAAGCCTCCTGGGAGACCCTGGGCCAAGCTGTGGCTCCAGTCCCTTGTCATGAAAACAGCCAGTGTTCACCTGTGTGACTGATACAGAGCCAGTGCCAGGCTGCTCCAGTCCACCCCTTCTCACTATACTGCCAGGCTTGTAGAAAGTGGCAGAAGTTGCAATCAAGGCTTTGTGGGAAACGGCTGTGTATAAATAAGTATATATTGTTTTTTGGGTTTTTTTTTTTTTTCTTTTTGGCAGTACTGGGGTTTGAACTCAGGGCTTACATCTTGGGCCACTCCACCAGCCCTATTTTTGAAAGGGTTTTTCAAGGTAGCGTCTTGTAGAACTATTTGCCAGGGATAGCTTTGAACCACGATCCTCCTGATCTCAGCCTCCTGCATAGCTAGGATTACAGGTACTGGCAGTACATATTGTTGTTAAAAGCATCCTACTCACTTTCCCACTGTTTGGCTCAAAGCAGTCATTAGAACCATTAAGACTGTCACTTGAGCCATTTACTGTGCCCTTAAGCAAGTTGATGTACCCATCTGTGCCTGGTTCCTCCACTGGTAAGATTAAAAATTTATTTAATAGATAGATTATGGGAAGCATTAAAGGAGAGCAAATTTGTCAGGGGCTTAGCACGGCACCCAGAACGTACTGAAGAGATCAATAAAATGAAGTACTGTGAAAAAGACTAACTTTATCTCTGGGGTTTTTCCTCCCTAAAACCCAGGCAAACTCCAAATGAGGAATGCTCCTTAAAACACCTGCCCAGGACTCACCACAAATAAGGAGAGTCTGAGCCACTGTCCTGGCGAGGAAGGATGGGGGACACAGCAACTCAATGCACTGTGATGTTATGGGACAGAAACAGCACATATTCAAAAGGTAAAAACTAAGGGACCAGTACCATGCCCCAGCTGCAAAAGTACTGTGTTGGTGTTGGTTCCCAGGCCATGTCAAACTCAGCACACTGGCTTCAGTCGCTAACACTGGGGACATTGAGGATGGGGCTCTGTTTCGTCTCTACATTTAAAACTGCTCTAAGATAAAATGTTTAAGAAACATCGTCAGTTGGCCCTTATCCAACTACCTGCCTCACTTTCTGCTAATAAATCACTCCTTGCTAGCTTCCTGTTCTATCTACATGGTTCTTTTGCTGCACCTTGGACAACAGTCTAACGTTAAACACTGTGCCCAAAGGAGCGAGGGCCCTCTGGAATGGCCCAACCACAGATGTGCTAAAGGGAAGTATGACTTCTAACAAAACAACCTGAACGGTGCTTTGAGACACTAAGACATCACCCACAGGACAAAGTTAAAAATGAACTCCAGGTGAGCTCAGCCTAAGAGCCACTTTACCCCAGCCACTCTTGAATTTGGCCAAAAGGGTCTTACTGGCGCTGACTCCTAGCTGTCTGTTACTCTCCTATCCCCCCCATACTCCATGGGATCAGATCAGACCATTTGGGACAAATCTGGTAACGAGACACTTAAAACCAAAGGACAGGATGGTTACGCAACAGTACCTTCAGGGCTGGCCGGTCGAGTGGCTCAGGTGGTAGAGCACCAGCCTAGCAAGCGTGAGGGCCTGAGTTCAAACCCCAGTACTGCCAAAAGAAAAAAAAACCTAACTACACACACACACACACACACACAAAATTTTCAGAGAAATTGTTCTAAGACAAAGGGGCAAGTTGCCAGAATCCAAGTGGGGTCACACTGGGTGTGGTAGGGCACACCTGTGAAGGCTGAAACAGGAGGGTTGTACTCCAGGCCAGCCTGGAGTACATAATGAGATGCTGTCCCAGTGACAAAAATGGAGTCACTTGGGCCAATCCTTCCGAAAGTTGAAAGGATATGGAGGAAGGGCTCTTAAGCATGGTTATCTCACACTAAAATGCTTCCTCTGGCCGCCTCCACAAATGAGGCAGACTTAAACCTTTGCAAGACAGAAAAACAAGTATTTCCATGGACTCCAAATCTATCTTTTTAGTAGCCCATGCTCATTTAAAAGAGAATTCCTACACAATTTATTTAATTAGATGTCTTCTGGCTTTGATTTCTCCTTATATTCTGCTTCATGATGGTGTTCCTAGTTTTAGGCTTAAACAACAGGTTCTTTTGATTTATCTACTTCAGCCATTACAAATTGTCCTCCTTCGTGGACTAGTTTATCCCTGGCTAAGAAGCCTGCAAAGCCAGGGGTAATAAGACACCCTAATTTCCTCAATGAGGAACGTTCAAACAAAAGGGAGGAAGTACAACAGGCACTTAGAATCTGTCTTTGCTAAAAAAGCATGAACTCCTTACTTGGGCACACAAGTAAGGTAGATACCCTGCCTCTATTTTATATCTTGTCTCCTTTACTCTCAGCCATTCACCTCTGTGAAGACAGGACCCATGGGGTCTTAAGACAAGAGCTGAGCCAGCATCACCACCACCATCAAGGCACCAATGACTTTCTTATCCTGACAAGGTCCCACCCAACCAATCATGAGATTGCTTAATTATATACTTGCCCCCACCCTTGCTCCTAATCCTGCCACTTGTCTCATTCAGCCCTCTCATTTTAACACCCTTGTTAAATTTCTCACCTCCAGGCTACAGAACACCTTTTTGTCCTTGAACACGAAGGTTGCTTCATTTTGTGACAACTACAGTCCTGCTGGTCTAACAGTGCCATATTCTTAGCAGCTGTCAACTTCCCAAACCTAATCAACTTCCCAAGTCCTGCCAGAGAGCAGGACTCGGGATCCTGAGTATCCCTGTCACCCTGTCTGCAGGAAGCAGCTGAACTGATCTCACTGTCCAAAGCCCTGAAGGAATTTCAGATCCTGAACGCTTGAGAGGGGAATGTTAGCAGAGGAGTCTCAGTAGATCTGAGCAGGAATGAAGAAGTGCACTGGGCTACCAGATTCCGCCCTAAAACCCCAGGCCAATGACTAATATTATGGATCCCACTCCCAACGTCAAGGTTGGACATGTATCTTGAGGGTGCAATGATTGCTATGTGACCTTCTACTGGCACCCCTAAGCCCGGAAAGGCAAAGCAGATCAAATACATAGGTATATGCCTTCTCCCACCCAGGCAGCCACTGCAGTCATCTGATCATTTGGGGCGGGGCTATAACGCAAGATCCTGAATTTCATGCCACCTATGAACCTCATCCTACTGGACAAAACCCCAAATCCCAACAGCTTCCATGCAGTCTGTCCTCATCCAACTGCCCACCTCACTCCTCAACATGCACTTCTGCTTTGCTAATAAATCATTCCTTACTATCTTCCAAAAAAAGAAAGAGAAAGGAAGGAAGGAAGAACGAAAAGAAAGAGTCACCAAAGGCAGCTGCTACCACGATCATTACAGACAGGAGTGTGTGCAGCTTGCAAGGGAAACAGGGTAGGCCAGAGTGAAGGGTCCTGACCAGGGCTACTGTCTGGCTTAAGACCTGGCCCTCTGCTGTCCTGGACAGTAACTGCTGGCACAATGCTACAGACAATTCCTGGCACCTGGAGCATGGTGGCCAGAGCTGTGGGGGTACGGGGGACAGACACAACTCCTGCCCAAAGTAGAAAGCTGAACAAGAGAAAAAAAAAAAGAATGATTATGCTCTCCTTTACCGAGGGAGGCTGGGAAACCCAGCTCTTGGAGGCATGTCTGAGAACAACGAGAAGATTACAAATCTTTCTAAAGGTAAGATCACGTTTTACAGTTCCATTTATATGACATCCTGGAATCAACAAAACTCTAGGGACAGAATCAGACCAGCGGTTGCCAGCTGTTGGGCTGGGGTGACACAGAGATGGGGAGGAGCCGGTGGCTCCCTGCTGCAGTGGCTACCATTGTAGAAACTCCCAGACCTGCATGCTTGAAAGGTGAATTTCACTGTATGTAAATTACAACTCAAAACCTAACTAAAAACCGCAAGGTGTGAACACTGAGCATAGGAAGATGAACAGAATCAAACTTTTCAGATAAAATTTCATCGCAACCACTCATGACCACTCTAGTATCTTCCCTTCCTGATTATTATTCTACATAATTTTTTGCAGAGCCAAAAATCGCATCATTTTGTCATGGCTTTTTCTTTTTTTTTTTTTCCCGAACTACATCA